CATTTTGCCTTATTTACTTGATGATATAGCTTAGATAATTACACCTCGACACAAGAGCACCGCCTTGTTCTTTTAACTGCTATACAGCATATATGTGTGTGTATACATGTATGTATGGCGAGAGAGAGAGTTCATTTTACCAGCCTCTACTGGGTGGACAGAAGGTAGTCTGAGGGTTTTGATATCGCACTGCAGAAACGACACACAATACTCCTCTAGTCCATTGCTTCTTTAGAGCTGCACGCAGAGACTGCACAGGCTGCTTTCCACCTCTGCACTTGCTATAATACATCACTCTGCACCGGTATCTCTGTAATAATGATAACTAAGGTTTATTAAATGCTTAGTGAGTGTGTCACTGAGCTAAACATTATTATTTTCATATTACCTCAATTTTAACATTTTATATTTATAGAAATAGTGCTATTTGATACTTAAGATATAATTCAGTGTATTCTGTAAAATGTATTATAGCTTTGTATTTTGTGTATAAAACAATGCTATTGTTAACAAATAATATCTAGAATTCACTCATTATATAATTACCACACCTAGATTTTTTTTAAAGAATATTTGTATTATTCCAAAGAAAGGCAATTTTAACACATATTTCCAGAAATAACTTGAAGCAGGTTACATAAAAATATATATACAATGAAATTTAAGGCTGGAAAAGTAGGGATAAGAAATCAAAGACCAAAGCCAGGCGTGATGGCACACGTCCTCAATCCCAGCACTTGGGAGGGCAAAACCCAGCAGATCTCTGTGAATTCGAGGCCAGCTCAGTCCACTCCAGGCCAGCTGGGGCCCCAGGGAGACCCCATCTCAAAAAGACTAAAATAAAGACAAAAAAAAATATCAAAGACCAATGAATTTGCCAACATGGGGTCAACTTTGGTGGAGTAATGGTTTCCATTAGCTTTGTTTGTTTTTTTTTTTTAAAAAAAAATCCTAACTAGTTCATTGGGCCTGATAACAGAGCATAGGGTGGGGGTTTATTTACAGAAGAGTGGGTGCCCCCCCCATTTATGGCTCCTCTGGAAATTCCACACTCAAATACAGATCCTGTGACTTCCCAACAGCTGCACAAAATGGTGAGAGAGGGGCCTCATGCCTCATGGCGTCCTCGACTTACATATCCTGAGCCCCTCCCCCACATGCAGCTAAGGTCGACTGATTGGGAAGGGTAACTGACTCCCCCCTCGACTCCTTGATGAGCATGGGAAGGAGGTGGTCAGAGGACACTTCTAGTTGATTCCACCCCTTCCTCTGGCTCCTACGTTCTTTCCACCAACCTCTTCCGCAACAGTCCTTGAGCCTTGGAGGGGATGATAGGTGTGGGATGATCTTCCTCCCCATTGTGACAAGACACTGAACTTTTGGGTCTGTACATCCTCTGTTTTCCATGGGCTGTTGGCCCATTTCAGTGGGATTCCATCTACTATAAAAATGCAAACAGCAAGAAGCAAGAACATCTAAACAGTGGCTGCTATACCACACCCAGATTTTATAGATGACACTGGGTAGCTTGAAGTGGTGAAGATGTGATTTGAATTCACACCTTGAATTACTGTGAGCCCAAGGTCAAGGCGCTCCATCCCCTACTCTGGTAAGCACCTTGGGGACATAATATGACTTTCCATGGGGACCACTGGGCACAGTCCCTTTGCAGCTACATACATGGTAGCAACATCTACAAACAGACCTAACTATACCTCAGGGGCAGTCTCACCAGGGTTGCTGACCACATGTTGAAGGTAGAAGCCATATCGATTGCGGGAGCCCGGCCGTAGCCTTGCCAGTGTGTCCAGGAGAACAGTGGGGCAGTGCATGTCAGTACACAGGATACAACCTCATCAGATATACTGAGCACAACTTTCATTTTACGTTTAATAGAAACTGAAGTGTTTTCTAGAAGCAGCAAAGAGCAGCAAGGGAAAGCACGAGTGACCCTGCCCGATTCCCCAGTGGAACAGAAACCCATTAAACACTTCCCTCCAGACGGGAACAGTTCACCAAATGATGATGATCAGTTTAGCATCCTTTCTGGGGCCCCAGAGGGACAGCACCCACTCTTCCTGATACCCAGAGTCCCTTCGCCTGGGTTTCTTTGTTCCTCACAATGTTCATACATCTATCTACAGGAAGACAGTGCTGTTCAGATAGAAAGACCGTTCCGCAAAGATAACAAGTGAGGCTGACGGTACATGGTTTTTCTCGATGCTTGTAGAAAATGGCACAGTGCCTATAGAAGTGGTTCACACAAGCTGGTGGTGTCAGGGCAGAGAGACCAGCAAGCAGACATGGTGGGCAAGCCATACCTCGCAAGCAGCTGCAAGGCAGCGGGGTGTGGACCAAGAGGCTTCCAGCCCTGCTATGCTCAAGACTACTGCCAGCCGAGGCCCAGATGCCACCCAGATTCACAGCAGCCTCTGGGGCTGAGCTCAAGAAGGTCTGAAGAGCTGCTGCAGCTGGCCTAAAGATAGCAGGTACCCCGGACTGCCCAGCACCCTGTAACTGGCTGGCAGGGTAATGGCTAAGGGGTACAGGCCCCCGTGGCATGTGGCCAACACTGAGGCCCACAGTGCACACAGGACAGTCCCCGTCTCCATTTCCCACAGAGAAGGGAACCGGCTTGAAATTTTCCTGGAAGTCAAGCTGCTGACCAGTCCTAAAAAGTACAGTGAACAATGCTGTATTAAAAAGACATAAGAACGTGCTGGAGGATAGTCTCTAGTGCCTGGGAATGTCAGGGTTAGAATGCAGACTTCTTACCACCCTAAAGATGTTCTCGGAGAGCTTGGGAAAAGACGGAAAGATACCAGCTTCGGGGTATAAAAGTTAAAAGGATCATGATAATTGTTAAAGTTGCACCACTTGGAACATGCGTTAAGCCCTATGTTTTTAGCCATTAAGCTATTGCAGAGCAATTGTCAAGCACTGCCATAAGCTAGGCACTCTAGTCAGTGCCTTCAGGTTCCAGGGCAGTGCAGGAGACAGCCCCATTACTGTGTCTATTGTATGTGTGGCAAATGACGAGAAAGCTGAGAATGGCCTGATGCTCTAGGAGTCTGGGCAAAGGCTGGACTGTCCAAAATGACTGTGATAGGAACTCGAAATGTCATTAGAGGTTTAAAAATCAGGCTGGAGACGAAAAGCACTGAGGGTGGAGGGAAAGAGCTACAAGAAAAAGAGCCCTGGGAAAACCATGCTGGTTTGGCGGGCTGTGGGCTGAAGAGTGGAGCAGCAGAGGGTCCTGATTCTTCAAGGGTCTCATAGTTTAAGTAGAAAGACCCTTCTACACCTACTACAGGAGTCTGGACTGGAGGCAGGGCCAAGACTTTGAAGGAGAAGAATCTCAATGAGATTTACATTCTAAGTAACTGTCCCATGAGCAGTATGGGGTGGGAGACAGATGGGAGATGGTTCAGACTGGGGCTGAGACCCAGTCAGAGGGGAGAGTGGAGGTTGGAGGGGCTGCAGACATTCTGGAATCAGGACAGATGTTGCATGAGCACCGAGGAGGATGGATGTGAGCTGGGACTGGCCCTGGGGTCCTAGCTCTGCTTGAGGAGGAAGGCGGAGAGAGATGCAAAGAAACTGGTTTTCCTATGAGCTCAAAAACTGTCCCCAAAGAGGCGCAGGAAGAGTGTGGTCTGAGGGCACTTAACTCCAGAAAACTTCATTGCAGGCTACACCTGGGATAACCTGGGCTAGTTGCTATGCCTAACAAGAAGATGGGACAAGAGAAATCCAGAAGGAACAAGAGCAAGCGCTTGGAAGATGTGAGAATAACTGAGCTCTCTGAAGAGCATGGAGTTGGCAGAGGATCACGTGATGAAGGAGGGGACTGGACCAGGGAAGGCTGAGTCAGCTATGGTTGTAGGGACTAGTGAGGTCTGATGCTCTGAGACAGGACCCAGCCAGAGAGGATCTGGGTGTGAATGCTGATGACAGCAGGGACTTGGATGCAGGTGAGCCCCCTGGAGGCCTTCTTGTCTCTTCCAGAAGAACCAACTTTTTCTAGGCCCAATACCTGGCATTGTGGTCACGAGGAGACTGAGCATTCCATGGCCCAGTGAGACTAAGACCTCATCTAACAGAACACAGGATTGTGGCAGGGGCAGGTGTGGGTCCTGGGTTAGGAAGGGGAAGAGGTAACCTGATGGTTAGAATTCACCCTGATGTGGGGATGCCCCAGGCAGCAGAACCAAGCGAGTTTTATGGAGACAGGAGGGCCTCTGGGTCAGGAAGACACTGGGCTAGGACAGAGCTGGATGGTTTATGAGAGCTGGTGCAGCAGAGAGAGACGAGGCCATCAGAGGGGGAAGGGTGAACTGTGGGTAGGTGGAAGGGCTTATTTTCACATTCTAGATCACGGTTTGGTCAAGGGGTAGTCAAGGATGCATATTAATCGCCCTTCTACTTACTGTAGAGATGGCCCTATTTGACATACCAAGGGATCAGCTCATTTCCTGATCCTTTCCACAAAGGTAAACTAAAATGGCCCCAGGAAGAGACCCAACCAGCCTTCAGAGAAAAATTATTCCAATTACTTGTGAAAAGCCGGTGGTCGACTCTGGAAAATTAAGGGGAGGGATAAATAATTGCACACCATCCCTGGTCATTATATCATTAGTGTGGTGAACACAAGACAGATTAATATGCTGTGAAACAAGCGAACTGTAATAATTATACAGGACACACTTAATATGAAATTCAGACTAGGAAAGTCTCTTTTCATTTTGAGCAAATGCCTCCTGAGCACCACAAGCCAGGGCGACGTCTTCCTAACTAGCCAGTCGTGGCTGACTGCAATGGTGACCAGGGCAGCTGGGAGGGTCTGTGATGAGGCTCCATCTCGTCAGCTTAACAAGGCTCATTAATAACCCACTGGCATTTCTATTTTCCAAATTGTCTTCTGTGTCTAATGGCGTCGAGGGACCAGGCGGAAAAATCACTGGGTGCCTTCTAAATGGATTCTAAATCTGCCCTCTTAGATTACACATGCTGTGACTTGGTTGTAAAACTAAAGGAATGCGAAAAAAGTGAGGACCCCGACATCACATCTGAGCCCTCGCCAGTACCTCCCTCTCCAACAACCTCTGAGGAACCCCAGAGCTCTGACCTGTTGGAAGATGGCTCCAAGCCTCAGCATCCACTGGCAAGTTCCATGACCTTACAGGTAAGGCTTCCCGCACATCCCGGCAGATTCCCCCCAAAGGGTCATATTTCGTGGGGAGCACAGGGTGCGTCTGACCTTACTCCCATTCCTCCTGGCTATGTGACTCTGGCCCTTCCCTGACTTCTCCCACCATTTGACTAGGGGAGACAATGAAACTGATGCCACCAGGCTAGAATGAGGATAAGGTTCTATCAACACTGATAATGACCATAGCCGGCCATGACACAGGTCACTTCACAATATCATCACCTTTGATCCCCCAAAGATCAGAAGAGACCTCATATGCATTCCATAGTCAGATGAAGACGCCTCAGGCTTTGAAAGATTAGGAAGTTGCCCTGGTCATGTGGCCTCAGCGTTTCCACTTGGCAGCATGTCCAGTGAGCTTTTGCTGAGCGCCTGCAGACCTCGGGGCAGTGCCTGTGAGAGACACAAGGTCAGTGAGATGTCCCTGTGCCTAGCATAGAGGTAGCCATGTGGGACTCACTCTTGCACAAGGCAGTCTGTGAGGTACCACAGTGCTCAGGTTGATCTCAGAAATCTAGTAGGGCTTACTGAGTGTGGCTGAAAGTGATTCTGTAAACAAAGGAATAATTGGAGCAGAGACATTCAAAGACGAGGCAGTCTGGACAAGGAAGCAGCGGAAATAGGCGGGAAACTTGGTGTTGCTGAGGATTGGCACAGAGCCCACCAGGCTGCTGTCAGCCTTACCGCCTGCATCCATCACAACGGGAATAAACACACCTGCCTTCAGCATCTATGTGAGGATTGAGAAGAGGATGGGTATGTAGTGCCTAACCCAGTGTCTGCTTGTGGAGATGGAGGGATCAAGCCACAGATACGACTGCTTCTGAAAAAGACTCTTTCCCACTCTGGGAAGATGATACACACGTATGTCTGTGCTATGGAAGGCCCCCACCCCCTAGCAGGAATCAGTGTATAGAATTTTAGCACCTGCCTTCCAGCCCCATTCCATTTCTTTGGAACGTGGGGTGCAGAACCCTCAGATTAGGGTCTCAGCAGTGAGTGGCTTGGCGGAGTGAGCCAACAAACAGGCCGGTGTTTGCCTTGGTCTCTGTGATAGTGCTGCCGGCCTGGTCCTGCCGCAGTGGGGCTTCTGGTACTGGCCAGGACTGACCTCCAGGACCTTTGTTATCACTGTACCCATACCATCTTTGCATGAGGTCACAGGGGAAGTGGTGACATGGCTTTCTACTGTGGCCTTTGACTACCTAGGTTTTTTTAAAAAATATTTTATTATTTTTATTTTATGTGTTATGAGTATATCAGCTGCATGTAGGTAAGTGCACCCGTGTCATGCAATGCCTGCGGAGGACAGAAGAGGCCGTTGGATCCCCTGAGACTGGAGTTACGGACAGTTGTTAGCTGCCATGTGGGTGCTGGGATTTAAACCCCAGCCTTCTTCAAGAACAACCAGTGTTCTTAACCGCTGAGCCATCTCTCCAACCCTTTAACTACCTAGGTTTGCACTCCCGATTGGCTCCTCTTGGGCAAATCAGATGGCTATGTTGTTTCCTGGAGTCCCTTCCCTTAAAATAACATTGTCCCTTTGTCCCAATTAGGAAGCCCTGGAGGTCCATAAACCTCAGTTCATTTCTCGCTCACAAGAACGGCTGAAAAAGCTCAAGCACATGGTACAGCAAAGGAAAGCCCAGCAGAAGGAGGGCCTTGGGCAGAAGCAGAGTCTCCTTCCAGTCCGCGCCAACAGAAAGCAGTTCACAGTTCCCCATCCTCTCAGCGGTAAGCATGCAGCTGGGTCAGGAGGGCTGGACAGGCTGGGGACGAGTGCCATCAGGGCTGGAGCCTTCACAGGGGGAGTGATGGTTCTAAACGATGCCACCAGCATGTGCAGGCCTCAGCGTCCTGAAGCCTGCTCTGGAGCCAGCCCCCTTTGAGAGGTTACATATAGGCATCCAACTCAGCAGAAATAACTTGGGACACAAACTCACCATTGTAACTGGGAAAGGAGCCACACCACTGTGGGAGCCAGGATAACAAGTTCAAATTCTTGGCTCCTAACTGATGTTTGCAAGTGATCCCCTTTGCCCTTTATAGATTGCAAAACAGACCTTGGGGCGAGAGGTTGACTCCAGCTTGTCTATATCAACATTCGTCATCTTGAAACCTCTTCCTGCTGCGAGCTCAGAGGAAAGATGGCCAGCTTGCCTAGCACTGTGAGGCCAGGGTCAAGCTGACCTCGAGATGCAGGGCATTCACTCACTAATGGGAGAGGGAGTTAGAAGGAAACTTCTCTGGGCCCAGCACCATGTGGGGATCTGGGGACATCACAGTGCGCAAAGACGGACCTCGGTCTTTTCTGCTTGGATCTCATAAACAGGCCATTAAACTAGCAAGAATAACAGGAGATGAGGGGAAGGAGAGGGACATCTGAGAACACACTGAGGGCCTGCCAACGAAATCTTAAAATCTGGAGGCCGGAAGAAGCCTCTGTTTTATTTCTTCAACTATAGAGATGAGGTCTGTCTCCCTAGGAAAATGTTTTGGTCCCCAGGAGGTGAAATCATGAATTTAGTTGTGAATAAAAATCCTTTGGGCGAAATAACCGTATTCAATAAAGTGCAGCTTAGCAAGCTTACCAAGATCTCCTAAGAAGCAGACAGCAGATGGAGGAAAAGGCACTGCAACAGGTTCCTCTTACCCCATGTGCTCTGCGGGTAGACACCTTCCTTCCTGCTACCCAGAGCACTGTAGGCGAGCTGCCTGGAGGCCCCAGCAAGGATGCATTGTTATCATGCAGGCGATCTGGCAAGACACCTGTTACTTTGACCCCATGGTACATTCCAGGTTGCCAAGAAATGAAAACCTGGCAGGTGGATGTGGAAGGGCTGGCCTATTGCACACCGTGTCTACCCAGTGTTTCAAGCCAGGGACAGATATAAGCTTGACCTGTGTGCATTCTCTGGAACCCCTTTAGTCTGTTGCTCAACAAAGAGCAACTGTTTTAGGCACAGATGTCTCAAGGTACTGTGAGACCAAGTGCCAGCCACAGTGGGAGTGTCCCTTAGGTGCTTGGCATATGTACTTAGGCTGGGTATCGAAGATATCACTTGATCAAAAGGGTTAGGTTCCCAAAAATGATGTCCCCATATTAATGGTGCTATTTTATTTATTTTTATATTCACATGTACATACACATGTTGGCATCCAAGGACCTTCAACTTCCCCAGGTCCCTTCACTTTATAGGAAGAAGCAGAGACCTAGGACTTCTGCAGCATGGTGCTGTATTTGTTAGATTTATATTACTATAACAAATACTGGAGGCAAATCAACTTTCAGAGAGAAAAGGTTTAGGCTTACGGCTTTGGAGGCTTCAGCTGTGATCAATTGGCCCCACTGCTTTGGGGCCTGTGGCAAAGCAGCATGTCATGGTGAGGGGTGTGCAGTGAAGCAAAGCCCCTCACCGCGTGGCAGCCAGGGAGTGGAGGAAGAAGAGACCAAGTCCCACAGCCCCCTTCACAGGCACACCCCCAATATCCTGAAAATTCCCACTAGGTCCCACCTCCTAAACTGTTGGAAGTTTCTAGTACCTTCCAACAGTTCTAAGCTGGGGGCTGTGCCTTTCACACATGGGCCTTTGGGGGACACCACAGATTCATACTCTTAACAAGTGCCATGCTGGGGTCTTCCTCTTCTGGGGCAGCCCTTCTGTCTATACTGTGCAGGTGGCCTTGGTATCAGAAGGGATGTGGCCTTGGGCCACCTAGATTGCTTTCTTGGTGTTACTGTAACAAACTGCCACACACGAGATGGCTTAAAATAATAGAAATGGATTCTCTCAGAATTCTGAAGGCCAGAAATCAAAACAGGGTATCCACAAGGACCAGTCCTCTCTGGAGGCTTAGAGGAAAGCTTGCTGTAAGGTCTCTCCTAGGTCTGGTAGCCTCTGACTGTCCGTTGTGCTCTGTGGCTTACAGATGCCTCCCCCTAGTCTCCGCCTCTGTCTTCACATGGCCTTCTTTATGTCTGTGTGGACATAAGGAGAAATCCAAATTTCTTCTCACACTGACCTGAAGTCTACCCATCCAGTAAAAGGACCACATATTAACTTGTTTACAATGACAAGGACCATATTTTCAATGCTAAGGTCAAAAGAAAGTCACAATTCAAGTGTTGGGGATTAGGTTTTGGATGTATCTTGCAGAGGGTGGGGGAGGGGCAATTCTGCCTGTTGCATCAGCCAACTTTGATGTATTACCTAAAACATCCTTACAAGTTCGTGTGCCTATAAATGAACATCTTAAAATTGTGTGTCTTAGAAGGGAGGCTGGGCCCAGACTGAATGAGCAGTGTTAAGTAATCAAGTCACATTTTTATTCCTCAAATTCTAAGAGCATCCTGGCCACGGGGATGCTCCTAGGGGAATTTGGCCAGCAGGGGTTTTTATGGCCATTCCAACTGTCCCTGTGGTGTGGATGTGTTGAAGAGAGCTTTATTTCCATGTTTGTTTGTGTTAGGTCAGTCAGATCAGACAAGCTCTGAAACCAGAGCCTTATGTGAGCTGAGGAAAGTGAGAGGGAATGTTTGAGGCCCCATTAAACAAGTCCACAGTACGAATCTTGTCTTCAGCCGTCTGCTGGCAAGATGATAAAAGCAAAATGCAGATGTTTCCTTACATGCTAAATTAGTTCATAAATCACGTGCGGGAACAAGCCTCGGCTGCAACGTTGAGACGTCTGGTGGAAAGAAGGCTCAGGTTTGCTTTTCCACGCTGGGGTAGCTGCCTCCATCGGGTAGGGCTCTGCAGAGCAAGCAGTCTTGGCTCAGGGACAGACATGAGAGGTTCAGGTGGGTGCTCTAGCGGCTGACATAGCTGAGAGAGGCGAATCTCTGGATTTGCAGGGGCGATGACGAAAGGGACCTGGGCCAGCTGTTCTAGGCTGCCTGATGAGTTCTGAGCAGCCTCTGAGGCTCAGGGGCAGATTGAGTGTGTGTGTGTGTGTGTGTGTGTGTGTGTGTGTGTGTGTGTGTGTGTGTGTGTGTGTTAATTAAGGGCTGTGTCCCTGTTTGAAGACAGAAAGTTTTATGAGCACTTGGGGATGGAGCACGAAGGAGGCAGGACGTGGCATTATAAATTCCTGGCTACAGCCCCCAGCTCCTGATAGGAGGGCTTCCCGTTGCATTGAGTCAAATGGAAAGTAAGCAGGTAGGTGCTGGTGCAGGCTGGGGTGGGGAAGAAGTGGCTTGAGATTCTCCATATAATTATAGGAATGAGGGGGACTGGAGAGATGGCTTAGCAGTTAAGAGCACTGGATGCTCTTACAGAGGATCCAGGTTTAATTCCCAGCACCCACATGACAGCTAACATTCTATAACACCAGATCTAGGGAAATCTGATGCCGTCTTCTGACCTCCACAGGCATTACATGACACGGGTATGCTTACATACATACAGGCAAATACAGAAAGAGAGAGAGAGAGGGAGAGAGAGAGAGAGAGAGAGAGAGAGAGAATGCAGAGGAGGAGGGAGGAGACCTGTGAGGTAGGCTCCTTGAAAATAATAAAATATTTTAAATTATAAGGATGGGGTCTAGGGAGATGGAGGAGCCAAAGACCATAATGCTCAAGGGAAAGTGATTGAGGGAGCCAACAGGTACTACCGTGTCTTACACTGAGGTCAGAAGCCAGGGCAGGATGCTGTGTAGTGCAGCTGCAGGGGAGAGGTGGTGCAGGCAGAGGCTGGGGCATTGGAAGGTTCTTAGGTGGAGTAAGTGGAAGGTGATGATTGCTGAGCTGTGGAAGAGAGGCATGTGGGAGGGCAGCAGGAAAGCTTTGTGTTCAAACTTTACCTGACGCACATGCCAGGCTTCTTTCTAAGTCAGGAGTCTACCTCGTCAATTCACCGGAGTCACCTGGAGCTGTAAGTGAGGCTTCTCCATCCTCGCTGTGCAGGTTCCCAGGTCCTGGGTCAGTTGAGTCATGTGCAAAGGCTGGACAGAACCTGGGAGTTAAGGGTCTTTCAGAATCAGATACTGCTTCTGCCTCACATACAGAACCCAAAGCAGACTCATCGGAATGTTTGTGGGAAGCATCAGTTACAGCCCCTTCGGTTCCGGTATTTGGCAGGGGTTTGCTCCTGTGACAAGTGGTGGTGACCCTCACTGTCCCTATTCCTTACTATGATTCAAAATATAATAACCAAAAGTGACTAATGAAAGCAAGAACTTATTTTGGTTTACAGTTCTGAGGAAAAGTCCATAATGGTGGGGGAGGCACAGCAGCAGATAGCCAGAGAAGGAAGCCAAGCACTCACATCCTCAAACACAAACATGAAACAGAAGGAACAGACTAGAAATGGGACAAGGCTATAAACTCCCAAAGCCCACCCCAGTGCCATACTTCCTATAGCAAGATTCCAGCTCCTAAAAGTCCCATCACTTCCCTAAAGAGCACCACCAACTGGGGACCAAGTGTTCAAATGCACCAGCCTATGGGGGACATTTCTCACCCAAACCACAACACCATTCCTTATTGACATAGACGTACCTTCTTCCAATGATGTCCGATGCAGCTCCAATGTGGCTTTGACCATCTTGCAATGGTCTAGGGATCCCTGTCTCTGATCCTCCCTGGGTTACCTCCCCACCTTGCCCAGAAGCCTTCCAGGCCTCCATTCCTTCCTCACTTTGGGTATTCTGGGAAACCGTCCCTAGACTAGAAGTGCAAGTGGCCAGACACCATGCCAGACTCCCTGTTGCTTCTAGCTGATCAGATGGACCTA